TTTTATTTCTGTGAATCTCCTCCCATCGATTCACTGATGGAGATGCTCTAAACTAATACTTGACAATTCTCTGTACTGCTAACTTTTGTTTCTAACAAGGCAGATTATATCTTATATTTTTTTTGTCAACAGATTATATCTAAAATTACTCGCCGACAAAATAAAATATCTAAAATTAATCATAACTTTTTTTAAGTTAGCATCATTCTTACATTTACTATTCTTACTAAGAACTACGCCAAAAATTTCCAACTGTTAAAGTCATATATCCTATAAGCTCATCATCAAATTTTTTTCTAGCATATCAGATTTTGTCTACTAAAAACAAATTTTCATCAATGTTTTCTAAGTAACAAAAATCCTAAATCTGATATAAAGCCGATGATAAATTCTTAACTGGTTTTTGATTTTCAATGTTTAGCTGTTTAGTTTAGTTAATAACACGTAAACAAAAATATTTATTGTTTTACAAAAAAAAATATTATTGATAAAGTAAAAACTGTTAAACTATAAAAATCAAGATACAAAAATTGACACAATGAAATCATAATATAAACCATTCTATGGATAATTTTATTTATACTCGTATAACACTTATACATCTAACGTGTATATGCGTGAATGTTATGTATCATGAAAATTATTTAAAAAAAAATTATTTATGATTTTAACCAAAAAATAATAGACCAAGAACTATTAATTGAAGACTATTTTCAAAATTACAAACCATACAGAAAAAAAGAAAACCACTTTAAGATTAGATACATCAATAAATAAAGGGAAATTTACCCCTATAATCAAACAAAAAATACATTCACTAACTATCTAAAACTATTTTTCTCTCTTACTTTTTCTTCTTTTTCTCTTTCTAAATTCTTTCTACAAATCTAATTATTATTTTTTTGGTTAGTTGGTAAATAATCCCATAAATAAACTCATGAAAGGAAAAATGAGACTTGAACTATGCAAATGTATGTGTGGGACAGATGGTTTGGTGAGTAAAACCACACGCCATTCATATTCATTGCCCACTTTTGTTTAATATCGTATAATACTTTTATTATATTATATATCGTTATCATTTTATTCAACGCTAAATGATTTCATCGACATTTTGCTTTGATACAATAGATAAGTTTTTTTAACCTAATACATTGAATTCCTTTTGATGATAAAAAACTAAAACATTGAATTAATTTACATTAATAAAATTCTTTATGAAAAATTATTTATGTAAAAATATACTCTCTTTTTTTTTTGAGAAAAGGGCCTTCTATTAATAAAATATACTTCTTCTCAATTGTAAACTAGATAATATTTTAAATAGAGATGGTCACAAACATTTGTCTCATCATATTTTGCTGTTTTTTTTTCTGTAAACCAGGATGAGTTCAGACTTTCGGCCTTAATTTTTCCAGGTCCGGAACCAGCCTACGTCTGTACCTTTTACGGTCCAGGACACTCTTTTCCACCTAAGACTCAAACTCGTGACCTCTCAGACAATTGCCGTAAGTGTTACCAGTTGAGCTAACATATCCGGATATATTTTGCTGTATTCAAACAATTCAGATCCAAAATTCTTGTTTCATATAAAATTTCATTTTCAAAATATAACAAGATGATATGTATTAAAAAACTATTTGAGAAAATCATCTCTGAGGGAGTTTGTAATATTTTGCAATCTATAATTATTAAATAATTCAACTGGGTAAGTATTTTTTTGTAACAAAAATATCAAAGATATTTAATATTTGATAAATACGGTTAACAATTAAAAATGCCGTTGCAAGTAATAATTTGTTAATTATTTAAGTCGTAGTCGATTGTATATGTCCTTAAATTTTTTTGGCCGATTTTTTTTTATTACATTCACACCAACCACAACTACCATTCTCACCTACCCCTTTGAAAGATGTTGTGAACACTTATGAATTGAAAATGAATGTTCGCTTGTTATTAGATATGTTTTTCTGAAGTTTATAATTTCATTTATCTAAAAAAAAATCATATTCTATATAAATGATTTAATAGTAAAAAACATAAATAAAAAATTAATTAAAATAATTAAATATGGATTTTGTCCGTTAAAATTGATAGTTTTTTCTAAACAATTGCTAGATTTATTTTTCCAAAGAACATTTTGTTCTAAATTGAAAAGGTTGAAAAGTATATCAGATGTTTATATAAAACCCATCGTACTATTAAAATCCTCAAAAGGTCTATGAACAGCTCACACTGATATAATCTAAGTTAAATAAGTGTGAGAAACCAGTTCCAAATTTTTGATTGGATCAAAAATTAATGTTTGGATCAGTTTTTCAATATCGGTTCTAAAATTGATATATGTTTTAGTATTATAGTTTTAATTGACTAATGTGACATTAGAAATTTGTTTCAATTAAATATTCGAGGTATTTTTTTAGTCAAAAAGAGTCTATAATAGCAGTTTGGAAAGAAACAAAAATCAGATATCTCAAATTTTAAATTTCTAAAAAAAAAAAGGAAGAATCCAAAGTCCTACCTACTACCGTGTTAAGCAATACGTCATGATCACAGAACGTTCGTTTGAATCAATTAAAGGATAATAAAACAGTGTTATCGATGTAATCTGTTACCTTTTTGGCACCTAAATGAATTGTAAGTAAAATGAATCGAAAACAGAAATGAGTTGTACATCCTTTTGGTCGGTTGTTCGACATGAAACTCACAACTAATTCGGAACATTTGGTATTCGTGAATAAAGATACGTATACGAGCAAGCGTATTTATATACTTGTATGGTTTTCTTTTTGGTTATCATCAATGTTAAGCACTTGTATGATTTTATTTTCTCTAATCTCGTTTTAATTTCTTCGTTGATTTTGACATTTTGGGAACGAACTTAAATTTACAATATTTTTTTTTACCGTCCAAATTTAATATATTAAAAAAGCCAAAGCCCAACAAATTACATAAAAGTTAAATAAACCGGGCTCAATATAACTATCCAAATGGATCTTAAACTCAATAAACGAAAACCCTAGCAATTAAGGGGGAAAGACGCCGACGGCCGCCACACAAATCGGAAGAAGAAAAAACGGACACGTGTAACCTCGACACCAAGGAACACACGTCACGGAGACCGTCGCGTTACCATTGCTACTCGCTACCACCGGCGAACCAAACCTCAAATCACCGGACCACACCGGAGCTCCAAAACTCCGGAAGTCTTCACCGCAATCACTATCAAACTCAGAAGACCAAGATCGGAGAGAATCAACCGCCATGACGAGGTCTCATCCTCCAGCTTTCAGCTCAAACCATCCAAGAGAAAGCATCACACACTACAACACCAATACCATTGGAGAGCTTCATCGTCTTCCGACGAGATCTCATCCAACAAATCCAACGGAGACTACAGAAACGAAAACAAGAGATAAACTACATCATAAATAAAATCTAAAAAACAAAAAAAAAACAGCAACGCAAGGTAAGGGACGCCTTCGCCTCCGGAGACAAAGCTGGAGACGATGGAGCTGTGAGAGTCTCCACCTCCCGGAGTTTAAGCAGGCGCTGCGGAGCTAAGGGAACCTCCACACCCCAGAAACTTAAGCCGATCGTCCACCTTCATAGAACAGGTGCAACGACAGAAACCAAAGCCGACCGACTATCAAAAGAAAGATGTGCCGACGAAACCAAGATAAAACGAAAAGACTAGCGTACAGCAAAACCCAACAATAGATCCAATAACAAATCTCAACCGACGACGTGTCTGTGTAAGCCCACCATCATCGACAGGAAAACATAAGCGAGATCTATTTTCTCTCTCTTATTCTCTCTTTCCTTCTCTCTTCTAACTTAAATTTACAAATATATTGTTTGAATAATAAAAGAAAATCTTAGGTTTATAGAAATTAATACCAAACGGTGGACTATGTTTAAAAACAGATTATTATTAGTGTGTGAGCTTAGAAAGCTAAATGTAGCTAAAAATTCACAGCTTATTTTCTAATTTTTCTTCGCAACAACCATAAAGAAATCGGTGTGATGTACTAAAAATAAAGTGTATTATTAAATTTAGACATAAAATTACTTATTGTGAACACTGTGTATTAAAATATGTAGTATTAAAATTTTAGGGTTTCAAAATTTATTTAAATTATGAAAAAGATACAGCTCTTTCCTAATCTAGTCTTTGGACCATTGTATCAGTCTTACGGTCAGTGTTAACTTTGAGATTTGGAATGTAAGAAATTTGATAATATATCCATAATTCCAACATAGTTTCAGAAGAAAAAAAATCCATAGTTCCAACATATCTATCATAAAATCATAGCATAGACCACAAATTAAGTTTAATGGTATTGTAATTGGTTCAAAGGTTACTTTACTTCTTTTTTTTTTTTTTTGCTATGATGAATTCGGTTGGGCCTTCGACCATACTCCCTCCTAGGTCCGGTATCAGCATGCGTTTGTACCCACGCAATGGGATCTAAATCATACCATGGCTAGTACGAATCAAACCCAAGGTTATATTTGCAGCTGCAAGCCGTTCACTACCAGACTAATTGATCTGGTTTAGTTAGTTTACTTTCTTTGTATGTTAATTTTTGTTTTGTAAAGTTATTTAATTTGAACATTTTTTTTTTTTGTAAAATTCGTTTATCACCATTAACAACCAACCAAGTTTCAATCATTAACATGCTTCTGAGAGGAGTCACTTCTTCTTTTTGTATGTTAGTGTTATTTAGTTTGAAGCTATTCTTGCAAAATGTCTATATTTTCATAACAACCAACCAAGTTCCAATCGGTCGAGCGAACCAAACTGATTCAGTTCACTATCCTTTATATTTGTAGTTTCGGGAAATAACTGGGCCCAATTATGGGCCAAGAGCTAACGTGATTAAAACAAGAAGTCAGAAGGTCATCGTTAACAACTGTTTTAGTAGAGGAAAAGAAACGTTAGGTCTCCCACTCTTTCCTTTCGATCTGTTGCGATCTGTTGCGAGTTTGAAGAGAAAATGGAGACGAAGGAAGAAGAAGAAGAAGTAACTCCTCTCAAGGGCATATTATGTCTGAAAAACAGTCAAGACATGAAGAGAATCGAGAAAACAGAGGACTGCTTCATTCTTGACTGCGACACTTTTGATTCTTTGGACTTGGAGAAGAAGAAAGAAGAAGTGACTCCTCTCAGAAGCATACTATGTCTGAAAAACAGTCGAGACATGGAGAAAATCGAGAAGACAGAAGACTGCTTCATTCTAGACTTCGACCCTTTTGATTCTTTTGACTTTAAAAAGCTCTCAGTCTCTAGTGATGACGATGGTGATAAAGATCTGGATATTATCCATGAAACAGGCCAGGTTTCAGTTTTGAAGTTTATGGATTAGTTCTAAATTATCATCTCAATATTTTCGCTAATTTTAGTTTTGAAAATTTGATGGAATCTCTAGTACAGGTGGCTTGTAGAGATTACCCACATCCGAGACACCTTTGCTTGAATTTTCCCTTTGGATCAACTCCAAATGCAACCCATTGTCATATGGTAATTACTTATCTCTTTCTTTTTAAAGGATTTAAAGAGAAAAAGAAGTATGTAATGGGTTAACCTGGTGTTCAGGTCTCTATAGAACTATCTTTTTATCCCTTAGATACGGTAATAAGTATTTTAACTATAGAGATTAATCAACATTGAATATATATGCAGTGTTATTGTTGTGTCTGCGATAAGCCTGCTCCTTGTGCACAGTGGATGTCTTCGCATTGCAATACTTCAGCGGACTCTATGAAGCAGAAGTCACCGACCCTGGAGAGTGAGAGCTTTTACTATTCTGATTAAGATCATCTCTACTTTGCAGTCTTTTTTGCTTTCACATCTTTGAATGATCAACAATGCGTAACAATTTAATATGATTTTTCTATATGTGATTTGTTCATGTTGCATTTTCAATACTCAACCGCCCATATATTGCTTATGCATAAGGGTTGCACAGTCTCTAGTTTATCGTCAACAAATCTATGTTATGTAATTTGTACGTTTAGTTATATTAATTGATCCAGTTAAAATCCTATCTTGTAATTTTATTCAACTTTATATTTTAATTCATATTAAAATTTCAGTATAAGATATAATTTCTAAATTTTCTAATAAAGGATACACATGTCACATTCTTATCTTTAAACCAACATGTCATAATCTTATAAATTAGATAAACACACAACAAGGTCCAAAATAATAATAAGATGAGGAACTCTTTAATTTTGCTTTGGGGTCAAGCAAATAAAAACCCAAACAAATCTATTTTTGTTTGTTATTTTGCCACTTCTCCAAGTTCTTTTTCGTGTGTATATATATAACTGTGTACGTATAATCCCGTAGAATGAAAAAGATTCATTTCAGAATAAAAGAAAAAAAAGATTTAAAGAGAGGTTTTAGTCTGTTTCTCCTTTCCAGAGATAGTTAGTTACACAAAAAGATGAATCAAATAATCCGTTCAAGATCCGTCGCTACCGCCACCGTCAGCTACCTCCGTCACTCCTCCGCACTCGTTCACTCTCCACTCCTCTCCGGCGCCACCGCCACCCCCGTCCGCCACTTCACCTCTCCCGGCCATGCTTTCAACAGGTAAAAATCTAAATCTTAAGAGTTTCGTAATAGCTCTTGTGGAAAAATGTGAACGGTTAGTCTCTAAGCTTAAGATTCGATTGGTTTGTGATGTGTTTATTGTATTGTTAGCTACCAAATCAAGCCGCCGATGAACTGGGGGATCCGAATCGTCCCGGAGAAGAGAGCGTGCGTGATTGAGCGGTTCGGCAAGTACGTCAAGACTCTGGAGTCGGGGATCCACTTCCTCGTTCCCGGTGTGGATCGAATCGCTTATGTACATTCACTCAAGGAGGAAGCGATTCCGATTGGGAATCAGACTGCGATTACCAAGGATAACGTCAGCATCCACATCGACGGTGTTCTTTACGTCAAGGTTGTTATTCTTTGATTACTTTCAGATCTGTGTTAGAGTTTGTTTTTTCGTCTGATGTTGGTTTTGTGTTTGCAGATTGTGAATCCGCATTTGGCGTCTTATGGTGTTGAGAATCCGATTTACGCTGTTGTGCAGTTGGCTCAGACTACTATGCGTAGTGAGCTTGGGAAGATTACTCTTGATAAGACGTTTGAGGAACGAGATACGTTGAATGAAAAGATTGTGGTTCGTTTTCTTCTTTGCTTTTTTGGTTATGTTTAGTACTTAAAGATTGTGGTTTGTTTGGGTTTGTGTTCGTTTAGTCATTGCTGGGTGTGAGTTTAGTTGATAAGAGTTTGTATAATGCAGCTTAGAAATGCATTCGTAGTTTATGTATGGAATATGACAAGCATGTGATGATTCGTGAGTGTCATGTTAGTACCTAAGTTTGCAGTTTGTTTCGCTTTTTGCTTCTTTTGACTGTTTGCTGAGTCTGAGTTTTGTTTTTGTTAGATAAGAGTTTGTAGGATGCGGCTAAGGAATTAGTTTAGTCTTGAATATTACTACAAGCATGTTATGATCTTTGAGATGGAACAATTCTTGCAGGAAGCCATCAATGTTGCTGCGAAAGATTGGGGTCTTGAGTGCCTTCGTTATGAGATAAGTGAGTCATTTGTTTTACCTGTTTTGACTCTTTTGATGGATTCTCTTGTTTGGTTATTTATAGTACATGTGTTGTGTATTCCAGGGGATATCATGCCTCCTAATGGAGTGAGAGTTGCTATGGAAATGCAAGCTGAAGCTGAACGTAAGAAGAGAGCCCAGATTCTCGAGTCTGAAGGTACATTTGCAAACTTATGTTCTGTGATTGAACAGTGTGCTTGCTACAGCTTCAGAATACAGAGTAAAGCCTGTTTAGCTTGTTTCTCATGATCTGTGTTACTGACTTGAACAGGAGAACGTCAAGCCCATATCAACATAGCTGATGGTAAGAAAAGTTCTGTAATCTTGGAATCAGAAGCTGCAAAGATGGACCAAGTCAATCGAGCATCAGGTTTGTATTAATTATTTAGTAAAGCATGAACGTATCATAATAAGCTATTCTTAAGTTTTGTTTCATCACAACATTTCTTCTTTGCTGTATTGCTTTCCAGGTGAGGCAGAAGCAATACTAGCTAGAGCACAAGCAACAGCCAGGGGGTTGGCCATGTTATCTCAGTCCCTCAAGGAAACTGGTGGCGTGGAGGTTAGTATATGAGATTTAAGCTGCGGTTTCTTAAACATGGTTTCCACTATTCTGAAGTTGATGAATTGAGAACTCATGATTTATCTGTGTTGTAATAATGCAGGCTGCGAGTTTGAGAGTTGCGGAGCAATACATTCAAGCTTTTGGGAACATAGCCAAGGAGGTAAACAACACAACTTACTATACCAGATTCCACTGGGTTTATGTTATCTTATCTACTTGCTAATCTCATCCTCCCTTGGGTAGTATTAATTCTAAAAAGGGCTAATAAATTTTGGTTTCATGGTTTAGGGTACAACGATGCTGCTTCCGAGTTCAGCTGCAAATCCTGCAAACATGATCGCTCAAGCCTTGTCAATGTACAAAAGCCTCGTCCCCAACGGTGGTATTCAAGAAACTTCAGGAGTGGAATCCTCGTCTGGAGCGAAATAGAACTGGTGATAGAAGAAGAACTAGGAACAATAATAATTCTTTTGAACTGTGAAGAGCTTTTCAGTGTGATATATGAGAAACAGTTTATCTTTCTAGTTTGCAAACAGAAAAAAAAAAAACAAATTTAAGCTCTAATTTCTGAAAAGAGATTTTGCACCGAGAGTTATAGTCTTATAATGTTTGGTTTTGGTTATTTTGCATCTTCCTTTCATCTGCATTGTTTACCATTAAACAGGTAATAATTCATGTAACAGTACCCCCTTTCGTGCTTGGTTGCTATTGTCAAGTGTCTAATAGAGCTTGTGACAAGGATAAATAACCTTTGTTAGAAGAACGGTGTAGAATAAATGTTTTAGGATACTCCGGATGAATAGGTCGTTGACAGACAAGAGCCTCAAAGAATCTAATGGTGACTTGAAATTTTTGGTCATTTTCTTGAAATAGCGTTTCTCTTTGGTTATATATACCTCTTGTCGTCTTCTCCTATATTTGCTCAACATCTGATAAATAAATAAAAAACAGTTTTGGCTTTTTAAAAAGGATCAGAAAAAGGAGTTTCATTGTTAGCTCCACAGTTCTTCCCATCGTAAATTGTTTGTTTTCAGACCTATTCATTCACCAACATCATCATGGGAGCCTGTGCGAGCACACCTAAGGAATCTGATATCCTTGAAACCCCTGCCACTACTGAAAACGCTGTCGTTGAGTCCACGAACGTCGTCGAAACCGAAGCTGTATCTCAGGTTTTTTTTTGGGATCAAATATCATTTTAGTTTCTGAGCTAAATAACCTAATGTTTTGGGGTAAAAAGATGTGTAATTGCTTTTGTTCTTCCGTGGTGGCTTACAGGAGAAAGCAGATGAAGTGGTTGCAGAGAAGAAAGAAGAGTCTGTTGTAGATGAAACAGAGACACAGAAGGAAGCTGCACCAGCCAAACCAGCTGAGGCCGAGACAGCTCCAGAGGCTGTGAAGACCGAAGAAACTCAAGAAGTTGCCGTTAATGAGAACGCTTCTTCTGAGACTGAGGCACCAAAACAAGAGGAGGCTGCAACAACAGCCAATGACACCAAAACCAATGAAGAGCCTCTTGTAACCCTTTAAACTCATTTCTCTATGAGTCTCAATTTCTTGTAATCAACTCCGTAATTCATATCTTTCTCATCGTTGTTGTATCGTTCTAGTCCCACATGCAATAAACTAATTTCTATAATTCTCCAGCGTGGTAGGTCTTAGGCATAAATGAGCTTTAGCAATCAACTAAGGAACAATGAAGAAACAGAACTATAGATAAGACTCATAATGTAACGTAAGCATTTTGAAATTAGAACATAGCAGATAATGATGTTTAGAATTGTTAGTCTTAATGTTATTGGTTTATAGATTCTAACATTTTCACCCAAATCTAGTGTTATTGATATAATGATTATATAATTCTATACAAAATCATTTTTTATTCAAAAGTTTTCATTTTAAATGGATATAAATCCACTAAAATTATTTTTATTGGGAGTTTTATTTATAAACTTTTAACTCATGTAACAAGATTTGACGAATACTACATATAGCCCTTAGATTCTTAAAATCATTGTAATATATAACTTATTTTTATAGATTTCATGATATACAAATTTACAATTTTTTACAAATTTAATAATCTATCAACTTTTAGAATCACCAAACTCTATATTAACATTATTTTAAGAATCTTGAGGATATATACAATATTATGAAAGTTTTGATTCATGAGTTAGAATGTTAAAAATTCAGATTCCAATAATACTAGATTTTGATAGAATTATAGGATCACTAAAACTCAAACTATTTGAACAACAATGGATTGTATATGTCATTCAAGAATCATTAAACCAATAACGCTTAGTTTAGTAAGAGTGTTAGAATCTAACCAATAACTATAGAATTTTAAAATTCTTACAGTTATTATAAGAATAGCTCCACTAACACCCCTTTTACAAAAAAAAAAACCATAGAATTTTGAAACTGAAATTACTCAAATGATTAAAGATGCCAAAAATTTCAAGTACATATGGAGAAATAGAAGTGTAACAGCCGATGATAGATAAAAAGATCTCAACCTATAAACAACTTATTAAGCGAAACTTTCTCACCATCTTAAACTCATAACCTAATAGAAGATATCAACCTCATCTTAAACTCATAACATAATATATAAAAAGATCTCAACCTATAAAAAAATTATTAAGTGGAACTTCCATAATCTTAAACCCATAACACATTAACTCCTAAACCTGAAGCAACAGTTCTTCTACAAAAGCTTTGGTGCATGTTCCACCTTCACCGACATTTCCTCATGATAATCCTCTTTTCCCTTAAAAACTTGCTTGTGAAATTTCGTGTGAAAATTGTGCAGCCTGATTTATTTGAATCTCGGTCCCCTTGTTTTGAATGATGTATTTGACTTGCATACTAATCAATGAATGTTTGCTAGAGATGACAGGAAATGAAGATAAATGGAAATTTTGATTTATTATAACAGAAAACTATGTACTTATATTCATCATTTGCGGATTATGGTCTACTTAAAATATAAATCAATATTAAAAAAAAATCTGAAGATGTTTAAGTTAAGAGATTTATGAGATTTGGAAAAAGTTGTAGAGAATTTTGTATACTATGAAAACCTATGAAAATAAAGTAATATAATGGTTTTAAGAATTCAAAGGAAACATGTAGTATTCTCAAAATTTTGTTTTGTGAGTTAAAATGTTAAAAATTCAATAGTCAATAACACTTACTTTAATATATTTGTAGAATCCTTAAAATTTAAATTTTGTGAATAACAAATGATTTTGTATAGAATTATAGATTCATCAAATCAATAACACTAGATTTTAATAAGAATGTGAGAATCTATAACCCAATAACACTAGATTTAAAAATTATAAGAATCATTAGAAATCAAATTCCCACTAACACCCCCTAAGCTAAATCCATTGCTTTCCTTATACTCCATTTCTATATATTTCATTTTATTTAGTGTTTAAAATTAATACACAAAGATTAAAAATATCAATTTTCTAAAATTTATTTTGGTTACATAAAAATATATTAGTTTAATTGATATCTCAGGAGAATGAGTTATGTATTTGACTAAGAAGCATTAGGTAATGTTACTTGGGAATGTTAGCTATATTGACATCCCTTGTTTACAGTCTCGAAGAATAGCTTTGAGGATGAAACCATTCTTGTCCAAATTGACCCTTATGCGCCTTTTGATGATGAACAAATCTCAAGATGATGAAGAGATACTAATTGGAATTCCCATAGTTGTCAATGTGTCTAAATATGATGATGATGTCTGTCTTGAGTTTGGACAACCCTCACGTTGATGAGATTGTCACTGATAGTGTAGCCGTCCAATAACCCCATTAATATGAGGATGCCTAACAAGGATTTAACTTTGAGTGTGTTTTGATTCACAGTGCTCTGATATATATATATATGTGTGTGTGTTTATGAGATTGTATTAGGTTTGGGCGTTCGGGTCTTCGGATCGGTTTGTATCTGTAATTAAAATGTCTATAAAATATATGTAATTTTTGGGTCTTTATCAAATCCGAACCAGTTCGGTATTTAGGATTTGAACATGACACAAAATAGAAAAATTTCATCAAATTTAGTCGAAACCTGTCATATATATCTAAAAGTTTATAAAACTTAAAATTAACTATTAACAATAAAAATAAAACATTTTTAAACGCTAAATTTTACATTTAAAGCTTCATATTACTTGAAAATGCTACAAAATAATAAAAAAGATTGCTAACAAAAAGATAACTCAACTAAATCATAAAATAAAACATATAAAATAGAACACATAAAATTATAGTTTTGGATACTCATGTTTTTAAGTCAGTACGAACTTGTTCTTATTGGGTCGAGTCTATCCGATCCATTCAGGTCGGGTCTATCCAGATCTATTCAGGTTGGTTCTTTTCGGTTCTAATTCCTTTGGGTAGAAGAATTTTTTACTCATATACATATAAATTTACGATTCGGTTTCAGATTTGATATTTTCGAGTTGGTTTGGGTCCGGATAAAATGCACAGAACTACATTGGATATTGTTATGTGACTGAGTGTTTTGGGGTTTTATGCTGTGGCTTGGATGAGAATGTGCTGAAAGATTCCACAGGTTTTTGGAGACCAGAGGGATCAAGCCTACGTATTATGTAACCGGTTACAAATGTCAAACCATGTTAAATATTTTATCTAGAACGTTGAGAACATCATTAAATTTATGATAAAAAAATATCTAAATATCAAAAAGAAGTTAAAGTAGAGGAAATAATAATTTTTTTCTTTATATCTTAGACTGAAAAAATTGAGCATACGTTCCTTATGTACTTAAAATTGGCCGTGTGTATTTCCATTGCGTGTACACTAGATTTTTAGTGACGAAAACAAATGAAATCGTATGTATATGATCACAAACCAGACTCGACCTGTTGTATGCTTCAACAATAATTTATGAAACACTAAAATCTCACAGTAATTTTAATCTTGCTCTAAACATGGACAAGCATTAGCATTTTGGTTGGGTTTAAGTAAAGTTCACATTCGTAGGTTTCCCTTTTGCCTAGCCACGCCATAGGCTTCCTTTCGCAAAAGGTCGATTAAAGGTTGTTCTGACTAATCAGCCCATTATATATGGATGTTTCAAACCAATTAATCATCGTGTTATGCACCCATTGGGATCTTAGTGAAGATTATGTTAAAAATGATAATAATATTCTTAGGAAAATTGTCTATGGAAGATCCAGTTTCGTAGAAGCTATTAAATATTATCCCACAAAAAAAAACAGCAAAATAAGACAACAGAGTCTAGATGGATCAATAACAAGAAGTGATTAGAGAAGCTATTTCCAAAAGCTTAATATGTTAGTTGGGCATAAACAAAACTGGGTGTCTATAATCAGGCCCATTTTAGTTAAAAAAGCTCATGAATGATCATTAATTCATTATGTCATATTACGGCTTCCGTCCCACATTGGAAGAAGTAGTAAAATTGATAGTTTTTGTTTTAACTATAAGATGGAGAGGTTTGCTACACTTTAGACTCATCTTTGCGCTTGGGGCAATGACGCAGCTAATGAGGTACTAACCGAGGCGCGTCTATTGCTGGTTGAAAACTATTTCCAAACCCCCTCATTGGCCTCTGGGCTTGTCCTATGCCTTTTGAGAATTTCTGGAAGGGCTCCCTCTGGGGTAAAGCCCTACAATTATTAAGTTTAACATTTGTTTTTTGACAGGTACAAACGAAATCCTGTGTTATAAAACCTGCAAAAAATTGTTCCAAAACGAGTGCAACTGAAGGACTCGCATCACCACTTGATATATATTGTACCTAAGCCAATCCATAGATATAGAACAGAGGAAGGAACTCTTTTAAGTAGCACTTACTAGTTTTTTATCATTCAGACATGGCAGAGCATTAGCAATTTTATTGGGTTTAAAATGAAAAGTGGCTTTAATAATCTATAAAACCCAGATCTCGATGTATCAAATCGATAATAATAGCAAATGTTTGTTCTCCCACATCGATTACACAACCACAGAACATTAAAGAAACTAAACCATAAATAAGATTCAGAGCGGTTTACTACAAACTCACGGAGCCGTGCAGTGAGGGCAAAGCGAACTATTCTTTCGCCTTTTACTAAAGAATACCGTGTTTTCTCTGCACTTAACGGCATACCCCTATTTTTGGAAAAGGGTTTAGAAATAAACCCCCATCAACTCTTTAGTTTAAAATAATAATACTAATATTGAGGTTTATCGGTGTCAAATGAATTTTAATAAGTTTTTGCCAATATGGTTTTTGATAAATAAGTATATCTCTAAACACATGAATGAGTAGTTTTTGCAGCGGACCTTGGTAGATGATGTGAAGAGAGTGGTGGATTAAGGTAGTGAGGTTGGAAGAATCATGAGAATTGGAGTTGACTCTGGATTTGCTGATGGTTATGTTATATCAGCAAGTTTGAACAGAAATTAATTGATCTTGTGAAGATATGAAGGATCATTTTTAGTCTTTCCATATGTAGTTTGGTTAAGTACGGTTTAATTGGTCATCTTCAGCTTTATTTGAGTCTCGGAGAGATAGAATTGTAGTTATGTTACATTGCATGCTCTTTGCATGTCCCATAAGATTAATTAGCTGACTTGGGAATTATTTTCCAAAGCTGATAAACCTGTATTTTATTCTCTATATGGTAATTTAGAACAATTTTTGTGTTAATTTATTCAATTACTGTGAGAACTTAATTTTTATAAATGTATATTTTATTTTGAACGGAACATTAGTTTATATCAAAAAAACAAATCATGGAACTAAATGAGACTTGGCATAATCATAACAGTTTTGAATGTCATAATCTTTGCAATTTCCATAAGATTATATGACATATTTCCGGAAGCAAAAAAATAGTTTGCCGTCTCCGTTATGCATGCCAGGTAATTAGCAAAAAAAAAAAGTAATTATGCCATAGATTAGGGGATAATTTCAGGAACTTAAACAGCAAAGGGAATCGTAGATTGTAGAAATTGATCCTTTTAAATAAACGAAACTAAAGATTTGGCTTAATCGTAGCAGACTTGAATCATTCAACTTATAATACCACTCTCCTAAACTTTAGGTCAAATGCAACTGAAATCATATAACAAAAACATAAGAACTCAAAGAACAAGAACAGAAGAGAAACAGAAATGGGATCAAAGTTTCATGCTTTTATGTTCCCATGGTTTGGTTTTGGTCACATGACAGCATTTCTGCACCTTGCTAACAAACTAGCTGAAAAAGGCCACAAAATAACTTTCTTGCTTCCCAAGAAAGCTCTAAAGCAACTTGAACCTCTCAATCTATTCCCAAAATCCATTGTCTTTCACACTCTTACCATCCCTTCCGTGGATGGTCTCCCTGATGGCGCAGAAACAACATCAGACATCCCAATCACGTTAGGGAGTTTTCTTGCCTCAGCTATGGATCGCACACGCGGTCAAGTCGAAAAAGCGGTTCAATTAGGTAAACCGGATCTAATTTTCTTCGATTTTGCTCATTGGATTCCGGAAGTAGCTAGAGAGCATGGAGCAAAGAGTGTGAATTTCGTAACGATCTCCGCAGCTTGTGTAGCTATCTCATTTGTCCCTGGTCGTAGTCCAGATGACCTAGCTGTTCCTCCTCCAGGGTATCCTTCCTCCAAGGTGTTGCTTCACGGACAAGAAACCAACTCCTTGTCATTTCTTTCCTATCCCTTTGGTGATGGAGTAACGTTTTACGAACGGATCATGACAGGGCTTGTGAACTGTGATGTCATATCGATAAGGACTTGCCAAGAAATGGAAGGAAAATTCTGCGATTTTATTGAAAAGGAATTTGAAAGAAAAGTTCTCTTAACCGGTCCAATGCTACCCGAACCGGACAATAGCAAACCACTAGAAGATAAATGGCATCATTGGTTAAGCCGGTTCGAACCGGGATCAGTAATATATTGTTCAATGGGCAGCCAAATCGTTCTTGAGAAAGAACAATTCCAAGAACTATGTTTAGGAATGGAGCTGACAGGTTTACCATTTCTTGTAGCGGTAAAGCCACCAAAAGGCGCTTCTACGATCCAAGAAGCCTTACCAAAAGGGTTTGAGGAGAGGGTTAAGGAGCGTGGTGTGGTTTGGGGTGGATGGATGCAGCAGCCACTGATATTGGCTCATCCATCAATAGGTTGCTTTGTGAGCCATTGTGGGTTTGGGTCAATGTGGGAGTCTCTAGTGAATGACTGCCAGATAGTTTTTATTCCACATTTGGGTGAACAAATATTCAACACTAGGCTGATGAGCGAGGAACTTGAGGTCTCTGTGGAGGTGAAAAGAGATGAAACAGGATGGTTTTCAAAGGAGAGCATAAGTGGTGCGGTTAGGTCTGTGATGGACAAAGACACCGAGCTAGGGAACCTAGTGAGGAGGAACCATGCTAAATGGAAGGAGTCTCTACTTAGTTCTGGTAAACTCAATGGTTATGTCAATAAGTATGTAGAAGCATTGGAGAAACTAGTCTAAAGTGAGACAAAACATGAAATAAATTACTTTGCAAGGAAAAACTTGGTTCGTCACAATGACGTCATATTTGTGTTGGGTCGAAGCAAACAAATAGTGGTTTTGCATGAGGATTCCACTCGTTTTTAAGCGAGCCAAGTGTTCGGTGTTTTCAATAAATTTTGACCTTTTGTGTCATGTGATGTGTTTCTTGTGTTAGCATTGTGCGCGTTACTATCGTTTGTTAAGTGGCCAACACAAAAAGAAAATCAATACTCCAAAACAAATCAGAACAAAATAAAAGAAAAGAACGTTTCTTAACCTAACAGGCCAAAGAAGACACCATCATTTTCTCACTTACAATTTTTTTGGGGTTAATTTTATTCTTATTTGTAAAATTAGTAAACTATCTCAAATTCACCCAACCATTCTTCAAGCTTATAAAAGGATCTCTTAGTGCAGAACAATCAAAGCAAGAGACGAAGCAAAACTAAGAATCAATGCTTCGTACAGAACAAACATAAAGCATATAAAGCTCTCTTGAGTTTTTTTTTTTAAATCTTTTTGTGATTTCACAATTCAAGAAAGCAAATGGGATCTAAATTTCACGCTTTCATGTTCCCATGGTTTGCTTTTGGTCATATAACTCCGTATCTGCATCTGGCGAACAAACTAGCCGAGAAAGGTCACCGAGTCACTTTCTTGCTACCCAAGAAAGCTCAAAAGCACCTTGAGCATCTCAATCATTTCCCACAAAACATTGCCTTCCACCCTCTCACAATCCCTCATGTCAATGGCCTCCCTCCTAGCGCCGAGACCACTTCAGACATCCCCATCTCGTTGGACAAGTTCTTGTCTGAAGCCATGGATCTCACACGTGGTCAGGTCGAAGCTGCGGTTCAAACTTTGAGACCTAACTTGATCTTCTTCGATTTTGCTCACTGGGTTACAGAACTAGCTAAAGACTATATGATCAAGAGTGTATGTTACATCATATTATCAGCGACCACTATAGCTCATACACTTGTCCCTGGTGGCGAACTAGGCCTTCCCCCTCCTGGTTATCCTTCAACGAAGGTAATGTACCGTGACAACGACGCTCACGCTTTAGCCACACTTTCCATCTACTACAAAAGGGTTTATCATCAGATCACTACTGGTCTTAAGAGCTGTGACATTATTTCAATAAGGACATGCAAAGAGATAGAAGGTAAGTTCTGCGACTATATAGCGAGTCAATACAATAGGAAGGTTCTCTTGACCGGTCCAGTGCTCCCTGAGCTAGAAAAGGGTGAACCACTAGAAGAACAATGGATTCATTTTCTGAACGGGTTCGGACCGGGGTCGGTAGTGTTTTTTGCACTTGGCAGCCAAATCATTCTTGAGAAGGATCAGTTTCAAGAACTCTGTTTAGGGTTTGAGCTGTTAGGTTTACCGTTTCTTGTAGCGGTTAAGCCACCTAAAGGAGCTTCCACGATTCAAGAAGCATTACCTGAAGGGTTTGAAGAGCGTGTTAAGGGACGTGGAGTGGTGTGGGGAGGATGGGTGCAGCAACCATTGGTATTGTCTCATCCATCAGTAGGATGTTTTGTGAACCATTGTGGGTTTGGGTCAATGTGGGAGTCTCTGATGAGTGATTGTCAGATAGTGTTGATTCCATTTTTGGGTGATCAAGTTCTAAACACAAGATTGATGACTGAGGAACTTAAGGTCTCTGTAGAAGTGGTTAGGGAGAAAACAGGATGGTTTTCGAAGGAGAGCTTGAGCGATGCGGTTAGGTCTGTGATGGATAAAGACAGCAAACATGGGAAGCTAGTGAGGAGGAACAAAGCTAAATTGAAAGATATATTGGTTAGTCCTGGACTATTCACAAGTTATGAGGATAAATTTGTAGAGGCATTGCAAGAGTATCTTGTTTGATCATGCAGTTTTTATTTTAATTTCGATATGAATGGAAACATCTGAAACAAATGTATTTAAAGTCTTCTCATGAATTTTATGAACATGTTTTCCAGAATTTCAAACTTTCAACAAAATCTTATTATTTTATTTTTTAGTCAGCTTGACTTGATTAAATCCAGATATTGTCCCAACATAGAAATGGATTCAAAGTACGTTTATACTTCTTACATTTCAATGTAGGTCCAATGCTCCCCGAGTTAGACAAGACTATACCACTAGAAAATCAATGGAAACACTGGTTGAGCGGTTTTGAACCAGGGTCTGTTGTGTTTTGTGCACTAGGAAGCCAATTCAATATAGAGACGGATCAAGGGGTTTTTGCCAAAACTAACCTACAACTTGGTTTTGACCCCAATACTAGACCCAAACTTCAATCAAATGCAAATCTAACCTAAAAGTGGTATGAAATTACAGTATAGTCCTTTGTGACCAAACAAAAAAACAGAAGATATTTTTACGAATTTAGCCCCTGTAAGTTGTCTGAGTCAGATTGAGCTAGTTTTCAGTCG